AGAGAGCCCTTCCCATAACAGGAATCCCTACATAATGCATTCACTGCAAGCAGATCCAGCTTTTATAACTCTAGAAGCAGAACACCTAATGTTAACTTTAAAAGCAGGGCACACGGTATTAATTTCCTAATCGGTTTTCATCCAAGGTTGGCCAAGCCCTGAGAGAAAACCAAGAGGAAGGTCTCTCCTGCCTGGTTGTGGGCATCATCCATATGTGAACCTTAATTCAGGGCTTGTGGTTTAAGACCCCAGATCTTCAGGCTGGGACTCATTTCTGTGCCTAGGGTACAAAAAAGGCAAATTCATCATGACGTACAGACCTACCATCACTCTGAGAAAAGCCTTCTCACAGTTAGCAGTTACTTCAAGCACTGCCATTATGTTACTAAATGGGGGCCTGCTTAGGCTTGGACAACCCATCTGCACAAGGCAACAAAATCTTCTACATGAGGGCCTAAACTGTCCACATATCCAGCTGAAATAAAGAAATACCTCACAAAGGGAGACCACATCAGTCCACCTAAGTTTCACTACTTCGCTTCCCTGACAACAAAAGCAATACAGACACATGCTCAAAAATTAGCCTGCTGGCTAAATGTAAGACATAGCTGAGTGTTGGAATTATGTAGGGTAGGTCACTCAGTGCTTTTCACGAGGGCAATGAATTTCAAAATAAACTGATGGTAGAAAAAGGTAGCTTCCAACAAAAATGTAATTTGCATCTCACCCATTTATACCAAAAGGTGTTAAGTAAGATTATTCTCCTTCCTGAGGCAGGCAGTAAAAGCAAGAAATAGAGTTGTGGATATATCTTACTCTATCATGTCTTATGAAGAAGAAAGTCTTGAGATCTGAAACTGTGACAATACTAGATGAATCTGTCTGGGTTTAGATGCATTAATAATTTAGGACAATTGATCCTGGCATTTCTGTTCCAGCTGATTATTGTATTATTTACGCTTCTTTATGTTTTGGGTTCCAACTCTCTCCCTCTCCTCTGGAAGCTGCAGAATGCAATTTGCTTAGCATTATTCTGCCTTTTGCATCAGAATTGCCTAAGAAATGAAAACAAATGGAAGGAAATAAACATAAAAACCACAAGGACCTAGCTTATGATTCTTTTATAATTCAATATTTAATCCTATGAGGTATACTGGGCAGTCTGCAATAGTCTGTCACAAAACAACCTGATCATTCAATCCCAATCTTTAGTTTTCCACACTAGAGTATTTTTAAAAAGTTGATAGTTTTTTTTAAGGTTCATAGTTACTTTGTTTTTCCTGTAACTCAACAAATAGTCTACAAAGCTAATTATAAAAGAACAGGTAAAATAAATGAAGTGAGAGCATTAAGTCAAACAATCCCCCTTCCTATTCTGTACACAGACTCCACACAAAAGTTTCAGCCGTTGTCTTGGATTTAAATAGAGGTCAGAGAAAGAACAATGTATCCACCATATGGTTGCTTAAGTCTGCAGAATTGAGAAACATGATGTGCTAGAATTTTTCCAAGAGATAATGGTCTTTTATTCAAGCATTTTTGCTTTAATTTTCACCTTACTCTGACTTCATGAGGGACCAAGTTACATTAACATGACTTAAACTGAAAAGGGTCATACTGGATAGCTAATTTAAATACTGCCTGTAAAACAACATTTGATGCAAGAAACTTGCCAATCTGAGTAAAATCTGTCAGCAAGGAAATGGGGCTTTTTTTTGAGCAGAAGCAGGCTTCTATTGTGGTGTTTGCAGTGAAAGTAACATCAGCATTAATATCTGCTCAAAACCCAGGCTGAGGAGTTTGAGGGGATGTATTATCTATTTTGTGTATGATTGCTGGGTGTTGAGACCTAACAATGTTCAGAGACCTGGATTCTAGGCTGGCCTCCACCTAAAAGGCTGAACTAACCTGTGACTGCTGACCAAGGGCAGTGCCCTAACCATCTGAAAGAGGCAGGGTAAATCTCCACTTTTGTGGTTAAAGCTGGCCCTTAGCAGAGAAATGAACATAAAATTTGCAGCAGCAGAGAGAAAACAAAGCAGAGAGACTTTCTCTCACCAAAGATGGATACTTCCTGATGGACTCTCAAGTGGCCTCAGCTGCTCATCATGTGTGTGTGTCACTGGGGATGGGATGTGTCATATATTTATTTAGATATGCTCCATATCATGTTTTCTTTGGGATAGTCCTAATGGCTTCTACTGAGTCTAAAAATTACCAATTTTTTTTTTTTTTCTTGCTGCAGTGTCAAAGGCAAAGAGGCAGAGTATACACATAATATCAGACTTCAGAAACATCACGGACACCTAACCCTTCTACACTGACTTTAAAGAAAAAAGTGTTTCACATCATCCTGCTGAGTTTGGTATCCAATTTTTAGTTATTTTTATACTCTCTTTTCAGTGCTCTGATCAAACATTATCACAAGGTAACTCATAACACTTTCAGACAAGTTTATAAAATATTTTGGCATGGACACAAGTTTAAAATAAACTTATAGAACCATTGTCAAAACAATTTAAAAAACTGCTAACAAAACCCAAATGGGGTTTTATAAAAATATAAAATGTAATTAGGGTTGAAAGAATAAGACAATTTCTCAGTAACTAGAAGCTCTAACATACCACAAGTCCTCATAATTCCTGCAAACCTTAGTTTACTAAGCTATGATAAGGTAGGCCCGCAAGAAGATAAACCGTTTTATGACACCTACTAAAACCTTAATAGTAGCCATTTTAAATCTGTTCTCCCAAATTATCCACTAGATATTTATTTCTAGAAATTAAATTCCTCCAGATTACTCCCAAATGCATTCTGCATCAAAAACAGTACTCAATTTTTCAGTCCAAAGGCATACTATATAGTCAAATAGGTAAAATATCTGGCTTTAAAAAAAATTATCTGTATTGGTACAACAAAGTTTGTTTTGGTAGCAGCATACATATTTAGAAGACTAAAAGGATATGGTGATAAAGTAATTTGCTCATGCTCTTGTCCCATTCTGACATAAACAAGAATCCTGTATCATCAATAGGCTCTTGTTATTTATAATGTCTCCTTAAAGATACAAAGACCAGTGTCACACAGCCTAGTGTCACACAGGTTTAGATGAAAAAGAAAAAGCTGAAGGCTGCACGCTCAAAAGCATCCTATATGTAATGCTTTTTTCATCCAAAAGAAACATTTGGAGATGGATGTAAAACATGCAGAGAGTACGCATATGGCAATCACCATTGCAAAGGCATATGCACAACATGCCAACTTTATATTAAAAGAACTATTTTAAATATGATTTTTGAGCTATATTTGAAAACTAGGAAATGCAGGATGGTTACTACCTTTTGTTACTCAATTTTATTTTGTGGAATACTATTTAGAGCAATAACTTTAACAATGAAAAGGAAAGTTTTCTGCCTGTGACACAAGGTTTATAAATTACAACAGAAGTGTACATCTTGATATAAGATCTTCCAAATTGTTCTCTACATTTCTTAAGACAAAAATTTTAAAAGAAGCTTGCCTGCTCTGAGATACTAATTATTCTACTGTAACACACCTAACAACTCTCAAGAAAGGATGTTTTTATATAGTTTCAGCTATTTGATTTTATCCAGTTTCATCTATTCAGAGAAATGTTTTACAGAGTTTAAAAATAAGGACTCTCAATACTATATTTCCATTTCCCTTTCCATAGCATAAATCATATGGCCTAAGCATGTCATTATGACTATAATTTACACAATGCAACATGACAGTTAAGATGTACTGTGGTAATTTGTGAGTGCTTTCAGTATTATTGTAGTATTAAAAATGTATATAGTTCAGTTATCAAGGCAAATTGCTTCATTCATACAGAGCTATCTGTCAGTAACCCCAAAGGACCTCTAAATTACACTGAAAAAAATATCTTCCATGTTCAAATCATTTGTGCACATTCTTACCATTTTTTTGCTCACTCAACAGAAGCAGGATGAAATTCTGTCTGGAAAAGCATAATTTCCTATCTCAAGGTAAGTCACCAGACACGGAAGATGATACAAGAAACTATCTTTAATAATTTAAAGCCATGAACAGGATGCCCAGTTCTTTGGAATGATGCTATTTAGTTTCAACATGTTCACTTACCTTCTGTCATGTTGATTGTCAGCCAGCAGGAAGAAAACAAATAAATAGGAGGTTGACTAGCCTGAAGAGACTACAGAGGAAAGCATGCTGAACTGTTTTAGTGTTAGCATTTCTGGTAAGTTTTAGCATAATTGGGCTTACAGTAAATGGAAATGTTTAGCTTTCTTCACATTTAGGACTCATTCAGTCCTCATTTCTACTCTCTGGAAAAAACCAAGATTTTAATGAATGCATCATGTATGACAGCAGAGACTCTAATGGTGAGGAGCCTGATAGTCAGAGCACTACAGCATCCAAGACTTTAGAAAGCAAATATTTAGTATTAACCTGAAGGTCATGTATGTGCACATATGGACACATGCAGACTTGGATAAATATATGCATTAGAAATGGCACAGAGCTCACAACAGCATTTTTTGAGTTCTAGGGCAGAGAGCTCCCCACACACAAGTTTCCTGTCAAACATTATAGTTTTGTAACACACCCCCACAACATCTGATGCACAACTTGCATCTCTGAAAAGCAGACGAGGGAAATGGTTTTCAAAGCCGAGGACAAGGTGGGAAAAGAACAGGATAAGCTGAACCACACACCAGCTAATTCATTCAAAAAACAATGCTCCAAAGCATATAGAGTTTTCCAACACCTGACAACAGAAGCCCAAAGAGGGCCCAAGTTTAAAGATAATTATTTTTTTCTACCTAACTTCTCTGCCTCATAAGGATATTCCATATGTCTGATTCCTTCCTGCTTGCAGTTTTGCTGCTCAAATAGCTATTCAACTTAATCTTTCCTCAGTTCCACCCTCCTTCCAAGCCTTACTCCTTTTCTTAATAAATCAAATTAGCATTTAGGCAAGTACCATCTGCACTTACTTTGTTGCCCAAGTAAGAACTGGGTGCACTCCAGTAATAAGTCTGTGGCAGTACTTTTCTTGCAGCCACATTGCTGATGCTGTACTGCTGATGTCCATCAAATCTCTTTTGCTTGGGGGTAACTCTGGTGAGACCCTGTAAGCCCGTCAGATACCAGCCATTCATGTCTTCTATCTATAATGACAGAAAAAATAAGCCAAAACAAAACACATTACAATAAGAAAGAGGACATCAGTCATTTCAATAGCACAGCCACTTATTCTTCCATTTTTAAAAGAATTAATTAGTTTTATATGATTAATAGCAGTTTAGGAACAAAGGAAACAACAAAGTAATAACAGCAAAATTTCTCTTATTGTATGTGACTGAGAGTTATAACTTCTGAGTAGTTTGAAGTAACTGCAAGGATTTCCTTTCTTTACTTCATATGGTCCAGAGCAAGAAGGAAATTCTATTGTACAAATATATGCATAAGAATACCTCCAAATATTATAAAACATTTAAATAAATAGTATCAGTCACAGAGGTTACAGAAGTTGAGTTGACAAATGGGCATACATTTTCTGATTGTTGTAGACAACATAATTTATACTAATTTCCAATTATAAAGCCTTAAAAATTCAGATGCAAGTTTTTTAGAAAGCCAAAACAAAGCTGGAAAGCACTAGAACTTGAATTTCTGAAAGCCCATAACTAAAAATGAATCATCAGAGAAGAGCACACTGTTCATACAAGGACAGCTTCTGGAGCCTCGATACAAGCAGAACAATAAATCAGCTCAGCCGTGGGATGGAAAGCTTTCCAGTGCTGGCTTGGAAATGAGCACACTAGGAATATATGATTTTACTCACAGACTTCCAGCATACCAATACAGCCAAAACCAGGGGCTACTAGACCTGGAATACATTTCCAAAACTTGATCTACAGGCATGAATACGTAGCAGACATCCGTTACAGTGGAATCAGTATCTGAGATTTGGGAACTAATTTAAAATTCAGAGTATAGTTGCAGACTAAAGACACATTACTACAGCACAAATAAGAACAGCAGGTTCACCTCCCTTCACATGCTTGCCTAGGAATGCAGTATCAAAAGAAATTAACTCAAAATGTCCCCTGTAGGGTACCCCTTTTACTTACATAAGCTTTGTGTTGTACATTTAATGTTTCAAAATTCTTAATTCAGGTCCAGAAATTTAATAATGACCTGGAAAAGAGGTTGCCCTATGGATATGTTGCATTTAACTCAGGATTCAGGATGATGTATACATGTTTCAGGAGTCTGTTGATGCACATGGCTTCACTCGTGCTTCTCATTGTACAGCTGTACCTTTTCAGATCTCTCTCACAATGAAGAGAAACAAAGCTTATAAGCATTTGCTTTTGGATAAATGAAAAATATATGGGACACAAAAGAACACGCATGCTTTTTAATAAAATGCACTCTGGTGACAATAGACAGTAACAACACACAGAAACATAAAACCAATGACATGTACTAATATGATATGATTTTTCTTACACTTCTGTAGGTAAGGTAAGAGTGTGTGCAGACATTTGTTTTCCCAGAGCAGAAACATTCCTCACAGCCTTTGGGATTATTTTGCTGCAGATCGAAGAAACCCGCTTTGCAACGATCACAGTTTTCTCCTTCAACATGTTCCTGGAAACGCAGGTTAGAATATTATTTCAGTTGTCATAGATTAGAACTTGAGATCACCAGCTTTATACTCTGAGGGAGAGTATAAATGCAGGACTATAAACACATTTGTAGGAAAGATTATTCTTTGTGAATATTAGGCTCAAATCCTCTACACAATAAAAGTTACTATGCCTGTATGTAAAGAACAGGATGTAATTTGTACTTTATACGACTTTTTTCTTCTCCTTGAATGGACATACCTGATTTCAGGGAATAATCTAATTAATCTCCTTTACACTTATGTGTATCAGGAAGGAAGTATACAACATGATGCAGGACAACTGTAGTTTGCAAGGACGGCTGATAAAACCTGTGCACACCCAATTGATGCAAACTACAGGTACATAGTATGGTCTGAATTAATTTCACTTGAT